CCCCAAAACCCCAAAACCCCAAAACCCCAAAACCCCAAAGTTTCATATGGTCATTGGAGCTAAAAATTATTAAAAATTTATTTAGTTTCTTTCCCAAATGATGCATTCCCAATCAAAATGCTTGACTCAAAAGATCTCTGTCCATCCATTGTAATGGATGGCTGTTCTTTGTGGTTGTATTTTCTCAAAATACTGTTGCCAACTAATCTGTCATGCTCATCTTCTGATTTATTTAAAATATCAGAGAGCAACTGCTTTTTCTCAAATTTGAATTCATCAGAGTTCATGGTCTCATAAATCTGAAGGGCAGCTTGCTTTGAGTTGGAGGCTAAAGAGTCAAAAGATTTGGACTACCGTTACTTAGCTTGTTATGAGACGGCTGCAAGTTTAGACCCTCATAGAATCGGAGAATTTCGTCATTATAGTGCTTGTGCTGCTGCTTCTTAGCTTTCTTAGTTAATTTCTTTTGTACCTTGTCATTACGATGGTTATTTTTCAATCATTTCTCCTGTGACAAGATAGTCTATATGAATTGATATTTCCCTATCCAGTACCCTTTAGTAGGAAGAGAGGAAAACATACATTTTGGGTGGGTTTCGGTTACCAGTTTGTACTCTTCATCATTTAAGTGTTTCCTGAGCTCATCTTTCCCTATATGAAATGACTACTCACAGAATTCGTTGAAGAAAGATAGAAGAGTAAGTAATCATACGTATATCGTCAGTGATCTTAAGCTTGTGTCTTTTTGGAGGAGTCCTATCCTTGTACCTGCTCTTAACAACCTGGAAGAACATTGGATTAGGCTTTTTCTTAGTCTTCTTCAACTTCAACTCTTGATACAGCTCAGGAATCTTGTCCTTCATTATTTTTGAAACTTTACATTTGAGCATTCCTAAAATAGAATCGATCTTGTTGGGAGAAGTTAAAAGTTATAATAGAATCATCGCGAATTTTGGGCTAGATAATTCATAGAATTTGTATGACTTAGAGCAAGGATTAGCCAAAAAGCCTACTTGTTTCTCTTTTGGCACGAGTATTCTCTAATTTGGCATCTCTTATAACCTTATTTTGTTCTAGTTGAAAATTGGTCGCCTTCTGCTACAAATTATATAGAGAAAATACTTGAGATGTGCACTCAATGTGAAACCTGTTATGACAGCCAAAATTTTGTTCCATCAACCTGAGATGCCTGATATATAACATATATTGAGTACCAATCATTTTCAGGTTTGTACTTCGAAACTCCATTTTCTTGGCTATTTGGAATTTGGGATATCTGAGATATCCTTGGAGTAGCAATAGAATTAGCTTTTCTCTTCTTCTTGGATCTTACTTTAGAAGCTAGCGTATCATTCTGAGACTTATCTAGTCTATCGCCATCTTCTATGTATTCTACTAAATTAATAGTCTCATCTCTGATAGGATAATTTCCGAATTTATTTGAGGGAGAGTCTAATAGGACCCCTTTCAGCTCTAGTGGAGAAGACACCACTTAGAGCAGGAAGAGACTCCCTAGCAGTAGGTACATGAGATTTCTCATGTGTGTGTTCCTTCCTGCTCTTTTGGTTTAACATCACTTTGCTGTTATGAAAGCTTGTCATGCCTTAAATTTATTCAAAAAGAAGCTTACTTTGCGCATTTCTATTCTTCTTTCTACGAAATGCAGGGAGTTTCTGCCTGCAGAGAGAGGGAGAAGACTCCTTCTTCCTATAATTCAGGGATGGCATCCTTACTTTCCTCCAACAGTTTTGGATGACCCAAATGTCTGAATATTTGTAACAGAAATTTTTTTGGCCTCACTTTTTCCTAAGATGTGTGAGGATTACATGAAACAAAAGATTTGCTCAAGCTAAGGCTAAGCAGTCATTTTTATCAACTTTTAGATAAAAATTACGACTTTCAATACCTTGGTTAAATCTTGAAAGCGTTGGATGCTTCTTCAATTTTTCTTCTAAAGTCACATTAATCCCAAATAACCACCACAATATGCTAGAGATGGCTTAGGATCCTCAAAATTTACCAGGATTTAAGGGCAGTTTACTCTTTATGAAAGTATCTCTCTTTGAACCAGCTTGAGCAGCTTTGAATTCCGGCAAAGTCACCAGATCTGCCTTTGAAAGCCTGTTGAGCGAGCTTTTGATCTTATCTTCCATTCTTGAATTTATTGTAATTATTTCAATTTTTCTAAACAAAGAGGGGTTTTGGGGTTTTGGGGTTTTGGGG